GACTCTGCTACCTCTGTTCAACTGAGACTATTTTGATCAAGGCCACCAAATCCAAAGAACACTTTCCAAGTTTGGTTTCACTTGTCCTATCAAGTTTTATGACACCATTGAGCACTCCCTCTTTTTAAAAATTAACTCATCTGCACAGAGAGGACTGACCCCTGCACCCACCCATGGAGGTTAAATAGCATTTCTGAAACAATGAATGGATTAACAATGAGATCCAGGAAGAAATCAAAAATTAACTGGAGACAAGTGAAAATGAACACACAACAACCCATAATCTGTGGGACACCGTGAAAGCAGTCCTGAGAAGGAAGTTCTTAGCATTACAGGGCTACCTCAAGAAGCAAGAAAACTCTCCAATAAACAATATAGCCTCAAACCTAAAAGAACTAGAAAAAGAACAATAAACAAAGCCCAGTGTAAGTAGGAGGAAGAAAATAAAAAGGATCAGAGTGGAAATAAATGTCATAGAGACTAAAAAACAATACAAAAGATCAATGAAACCAAGAACTGGTTTTTTGAAAAGATAAACAAGATTGACAAACCTTTAACCAGACTCACCAAGAGAAAAGAGAGGGGACGCAAATAAATAAAATCAGAAATGAAAGAAAAGAAATAACAACTGACACCACGGAAATAAAAAGGAATGTAAGAAAATACTATGAACAATTATATGCCAACAAATTGGACAACCTGGGTGAAATGGACAAATTCCTAAAAACATCCAATCTTCCAAAAGTGAATCAGGAAGAATCACAAAATCTGAATAGACCGATTGCACTAATGAAATTGAAGCAGTAATCAAAAAAAGTCTTAAATCAGATGTATTTACAGGTGAATTTTACCAAATATTCCAAGAATTAACACCTATCCTTTTCAAACAATTCCAAAAAATTAAAGAGAAGGGAAGACTACCAAGCTTATTTTAAAGGGCCAGCATTATCCTAATTCCAAAACTAGATAAAGATACTACACAGAAAGAAAATTTTAGGCCAATCTGATGAACATGAGTGCTAAAATCCTCAACAAAATATTAACAAATCAAATCCAGCAATACGCTGAAAAGATCATACACCATGATCAAATGGGATTTATTCTGGGAATATAAGTTGGTACCATGTTTGCAAGTTAATAAACATGATATATCACAAATAAAATTAAGGATGAAAGTCACATGATCATATCAGTAGATGCAGAAAAAGCATTTGATAAAATCCAGCACCCATTTATGATAAAAACTCTCAGCAAAGTTATAACTTAACATAATAAAGGTCATGTATGTCAAACCCACAGTCAACATCATGCTCAATGAGCAAAAAATAAAAGTGTTTCCCTTAAGATCAGGAACAAGACAAGAATGTCTGCTTTCACCACTCTTATTCAACACTAGAGGCCTAGTGCACAAATTCATGCATGGGTGGGGTCCCTCGGCCTGGCCGGCAATCGAGGCCTATCAGGAGGGCCGGCTGCCTGAAGGGAGGTTGGCCAGTCACAGGAGGTTGGCTGTGGGAGCATACTGACCACCAGGGGGCAGCTCCTGCATTGAGTGCCTGCCCCCTGGTGGTCAGTGCGCATCATAGTGACTGGTCGTTCCGGTCATTCTGGTTGTTTGGTCCTAACGGTCACTTAGGTTTTTATATATATACTAGAGGCTCAGTGCACAAAAATTTGTGCACTCAGGGGGGGCGGTCCCCTCAGCCCGGCCTGTGCCCTCTTGCAGTCTGGGACCCCTC